TCGAACTACGCAACAATCATGACCGACGCAGCTCGACACCGCGGTGGTTTGGTGGTTCCATCGGGAGGTGATCCATTGGCGACGGCCACCCGAAAAACAATGGCTGCCGCAAGTTCCGTGTCTGCTTCTTCAAGTCACGCCCAATATCTTTCCAGGTTGATAGACTTCAAACAAATGGACATACAGAGCGCACTCGACCAAATGAAAACCCTCCTCTCGACACGACCGCACGTCGTATACAAGACGTCATATTACAGAAAGCAGACCAAAAACCACTGGGCTCGAGACGACCCTGCATTTGCTGCATTGGAACTCATTTTCCTTACGATCTCGTGCATCGCCTACGCCATCAGCTTTCGAGTTCCAATCAGCGAAGGGATAGCATTCTTTTTATATTCCGTCCTCTTCCACTGGTTGGGCTTCGGTCTCATCATTGCCACAGCAGGAAGGGAAATGGCKAACCGACATCTGACGGACACGAAATCAAATAGTCACGTCCGGCAATCAGTGGAATGGCTGTATGCCTTCGATATTCATTGCAATGCATTCTTTCCTGTCTTTGTGCTTCTCTGTAAGTTTCAATCATCGTGCCGCCAAYTTGTTTGCGCGATCTCACGAAACAAACACCAAGAAGCGACGAGATGTTTCGTCTTGGACGAACTTCGTGGCGCCGCTTGGGTCTTCGTTATGTTCGCGTTCTGTTTARCTCATCCGATATTTTCATTCGTTCATTCTGGTGSTTGTTCGMAATAGATGGTGTCCAGTTCTTTCTCTTGCCACTCGTTCTGGGAAAATCATTATTTGCTCTCATCGCTAGCAACACCCTTTACGCTGGAGCCTTTGCATGGTATTGGTATATCACACACTTGGGGTACCGAGCACTGCCTTTCTTATCACAAACGGAAGTATTTCTGTTTCCTATTGCCGCCATCGGCCTGGTCTATGTATTGAATCTAGTCGGATACCCGTTTGGAATGGGTTGGAATGCATCACGAATCATGGCTCACATCTACTTTGATTAAAATGAGATCGATGCATTCTCGTGGTATTACCGCTATCTTTTTTTCACRGCGACGATCCGGCACTTTCGACGAAAGCCATGTTGCATAGGCACTTGCTTCTTTYGCCGATAAAGAAAAACATGCCTTTCATGATGGACGAAATAGTGTTGTGTTSTGGTCACGGACGACTTCATAATTGAAYCATTTCATATCGATAACGATACGAGCAATCCGACAAACCGCGATAATTTGTATTAAACTGTTTTATTGCATTGTATGAATACTTAACTTCAGTCTATTGAAGAAGAACAAGTCGCGAGAGACGAAGAAATAGCCAACGATTTACATAATGTGCACTTCCTCCCAACCGTCATACWTGTCCGAAGCGCACCTTGTTTTCTCTTRAARTAAGCTCAATGTTTGGGCAATTTGAATGGTTCTTTTTGCATCATGGAGTTGAAATTGTTATGTGGTGTCTTCAGAACTTAATTTGTACGAGTCATTCTTGTTGAAGAGAGGTATTCTGCGGTGTTTCAATCCTTGTTAATTGCAATG